CAAGAAAGAAGTTCTTCCTCACATGGAGACGGAACTGCCTGTGTTTCAACTTATACTCATTGCCCCTTGTCCTGCCACTGGCCACCACTGAGAAGAGCTTGGCGCCATTCCTCCCTACATTCTCCTCTCAGGTACTTACACCTATTGATCAGATCAGTCCCCTCTCAGTCTTCTCTTTTCTAGGCTAAACAGGCCAAGCTTGCTTAGTCTTTCCTCATACGAGAGATGCTCCAGTCCCTTAGTCATCTTTGTTGCTCTCCACTGGACCCTCTCGAGAAGCTCCACATCCTTCTTATACTGGGGAGCCCAGAACTGCMCMCAGTACTCCAGGTGCGGCCTCACCAGAGCTGAGTAGGGGGGCAGGATCACCTCCCTCGACCTGCTGGCAACATCCTCCTGWTGCAGTCAGGAGCCCATTGGCSTTCTTSGCCACRAGGGCACACTGCTGACTCATGGTTAACTTGGTGTCAACCAGGACTCCCAGRTCCSTCTCTGCAGAGCTGCTTCCCAGAAGGTTAACCCCTATTCTGTGCTGGTGAACAGCTCTACAAAGAATGTTCCAAATAAGAGTGAATTGGGGATGCAGAATAAAGCTCTGCCCCATGTGACACAGTGCTTTTTGGTTTTAATGATAGATGGACATACACTGGATTGGCTTGACATCCCCCCAGCCAAGACCTCACAGAAAGAGTGGGCAAAAGAGGCACAAAGGAGGGACGTGGGCAGGGCTGGCTCAGCCTCTGCACCACAGCCAAGGGAAGGGTCTTCCAGAGATGTCTGGAAGTGTCTTCTGCAAACGCCCTCTCAGATCGGTGCTGCCGGGAGGAGAGAGCTACTGTGAAGAGCAGTGGCACATGCAAAACAAGTGAGATAACTCAGGTCTTATCTGAAATACTTGCCATTTGGACACAATAAAGTTTCTTTTTGTTTCTATTAAAAAACCCTCCTTTCCTTTCCTTTCCTTTCCTTTCCTTTCCTTTCCTTTCCTTTCCTTTCCTTTCCTTTCCTTTCCTTTCCTTTCCTTTCCTTTCCTTTCCTTNTTCTTTTCTTTTCTTTTCTTTTCTTTTCTTTTCTTTTCTTTTCTTTTCTTTTCTTTTCTTTTCTTTTCTTTTCTTTTCTTTTCTTTTCTTTTCTTCTTATTCTTTTGTGAATGAGATGCTTTCTGAGACAAATGAGAATGCTGAGGAATGCTCAAAGCCTGCCAAAGACTTAGGGCACAACAGAGCAAACCATGGCAAGCAGAACTCTAATAATTCCTATACATCCATGCAGCACTTTGAAAAGCAAAAGTAACCTAAATAGTGAGGTTTCAATATGCTGTATAGGGAGATGAGAGCAACCTGAAATGAAGCCAAGGATTCTCCAAATTCCAACATACTACCTTAAACCACAACACTGTCTTTTCACTGAGATCTTATGCAACATGGGTACTTAAGCTTATAATGGCAAGTTAACCCCAATATTCTGCAAGTATATTATTAAACAATTTAAAGCAATTCAGATTTAAAAGCAAAACTTTAACGTGTATACCATAAAAGGATAGGGCAATACAGCTGATGCAATGCAAGCATCTTTGGAGGCAACAGAATTAGTCAGATTTTAAGGCTTTTTGCAGCAGGTTTTCACAGATTTCATTTCCTGAAATGTCATTTGGTGTTATAATGAATATTCATAGGTTCTGGTCCCTTCTAAAACTAAAAAGAGGTTATCTTGAGTCCTGTTCCTTTTCTCCTTAAAACTTTAATTTAAAAAGGCTTGAGTCCTTTCAAGTACCTCCTATCAAATTCCTTCGCTCGGACCAAGGTATCTCCTGGGTATTACTTTGACAGAATGAGGTTTGTTTAATGATCACAGCATTAAAGCCTTATGCTCTGCAGACACGCATTAGCACACTAGGGAACATGGTGTAAAAAACAAGAGGTGAAGCAGGGTTTCTCTGCCTTCCTTCCAACAAATCGTACACCAACAAGYACTTTCACAAGCATCTTAACTTTATTATTTTTTCAATAGGCCTTTTCCCCAAAAGAGTTACTCCTTGGTCACTCTTGCTTGTCCAGTCTTGYTCCTGCTAATGCTGAACACAAGAAAATCTTAGGTTATCTTAGTGGTGGAAGACGAGACTGTTAAAGAACAACTTGTATCTCAAAAAGAATTTCCCTGCCGTTRAAAAGTGCTGCTGTCTGGTGAATTCAAGCCCACCTCACCTGTTCCAACTTCATGCCTGTTGTCTTTCATCTTCCCACCATGAATCACTRTGCTCAGGTCCATTTTCTTGGTAATGTCCTTGCACGTACTGGAGGCTGCTGTTAGTCACCTGCCCGCCTCCCAGTGTCATCTCTTCTCCAGGCTGAAAAAGCTCAGATCCCTCACCCCTCTTCACAGGACAAGTGCTCCAACCCCAGCTATGTAGATGACACTCAGTTGAGCTTGTTCTAGTTTTCCCTCATGTGGAGGATCCAAAAACTGTGGTCTAACAAGTGCAGAGAAAAAGGGGGACAAGGACTCTCCTTTACCTACTGGCTCTGCTCCTTCTGTTAACCTTTGCCAGTGCTTAAAGACAATTCCTTTTCAGCAAAGCTGTTCCTCATGCTTAGAGCAGTGCAACAGGTTCTCCCCTCCCTAGGAGGGGGACAAAAGGCAGGATCATCATTTGTCCTCGCTGAATTGCACAAGGTTCAGACGCTCCTCTAGCCTGCCTGGGGTCCTTGGAACCAGCAGCCTGGCCCACGAGGCTCCCTACATTTCAATGTCACCTGCATTCCTGATGAGCGTCCCCTCTGTCCTGTCACCTCCTCGAGGACATGGACAACATGGAGCTCTTGCTCCTTTGCCGCCGAGTTCAACAACAGCGGAAGCATCTTTTTATTATGCACCTACAGCTGGTCATTTGTCTGGAGTGATCTATAAGAAAAAAATCTGTACAAAGACCCTTAGCTAATTCTGCCATTGACCCTGCCCACTATAATTCCTGTCTCATGACCATATCTCAGATTTTTATCTTCAAGGTTTGAATAACATTTTCTTGTCATTTTCACTTCCTTTCCATCATATTTTCCATATTAAAGAAGCTTGTATAGTCATTAAAATTCCAGAGAAATTTTKAACAATAACATCACTTTTCCACAGTCATATTAAAGTGTATTAGAAATTAAGCCCACTTCCAGGGCTTAATCTTTAYGCTAGTCAAATAGAACAGTTTTCTTGCTCTTTTCACGATTCACATTTTTGAGCCACAAATTCACTGTTCTTCCAGTTGGGTTTGAGATAATAATTGAGATCACAGGGACCAACAGCAGTAAAAACATCCTCCTGAGTGACCGATTTCATTCAGAATCAGTGTACTTTCTTCAAGTCTTTAAACATATTGATCATATTTCTTCTTTTCTTCTGCAGTCACTGAATTGAAGCCATTTTCTTTACTGCATACTTGCTTTCTAACACTTACACTAAAATCCTCCTTTGTCTCTTCTGTGCAAAGTATCAAAGATCCTCCTGCCTCACAAAGGTCTATTAAGTTTCAAGTTTTGCACATCTACAAAGAAGCTATAGGATTTCCGTGTATGTTTAAATTAAATGGAAAAAAAGACTTTTTTTTCCCTTCCTTTCAACCTCTTCTCACGGTGCTCAAATTCCACAAAGAGAAAACATGTAACACAGTAGCAGAAAAAGTGAAAAAAACTTAATTTCTATTTAATAACCTGAGGTAACCTGAGACAGTCAGTTCTGTACACGTGGGTACAGACTCCACTCTTATGGATTACATTTACGACRCTGAGATACAGATGAAAAACCAGAAGAAGCAGGTCCAATGGCCAGGCATTATTTTCAACTCTTATGACCCCAATAAAAAGCACCTCTCTTGCATATACATACACACTTAAAATGAAGGTCAATAGTTTAGTTTGCCATGTTGGCATTCACTCATATATTTGCAGAAAGGAACGAAGAGCAACAGGAGCCACTGGAAAATTTGCATACCAGTCCTGCATAACATTACTTCAAAGGACAAATTAATTTTCCATGTAATATTTTTTACAGATTAATTAATGCCTGCGATACAAGTAAAAATGCTATTTCACTCCCAAATTATGTTTGTATTAATCAAGTTACTTATTATGTTAAGACAAGAATTGAGTGTTGAGAGTTGGCACTATTTTGGGGACAAACTAACAAAGAAGGAAATATTTTTTAGAGTAGGAAAGGAAAATTGTAAATGGGACAACCCCAATTCAATACTGATAAGGTTGATAAGGTTGCGAGAGAGAAGATGGTCTCTACTCCAGCTACACTTGGGATAGAAGTCAACTTCACTGGCAAGAAATAACAGTTCAGCCTCTCATTAGGGAATAATAACTTGAAGGATCATAAGACACTGGAATAGAGATGTAAAAATCTCCATTGCAAATTTGCTAGAACAAGCTAGACAAATATGTCAGAAATTAGTCTGATACGTTGGTGCTGCTTCACTCCTAGAGAGGATCTCAGTCGGGCTTCCTTTGCATCCTAAAAGTTGAATTAAAAACCAATAATCTCAAAAGAGAATTTGACCTCTTCAAGGTGAAACATCTCTCAAAAATAAGGGGAAAGAAAAGCCCCATTTACATTTTTTCCTCACAAGCCTTTTCTTAATTTTTGGCCTTTGTTTTGATTTGGAATGAATATTTCAAAAGTTAACGCCAGGTTTTTAACAGTACAAAATAAAAAACACATGATTAGATAGTCTCAGATTCAACTCTTTTCCACATACATACTATGGCTTGTTCTTTCCTCATTACATTAACCTTTAATAATCTGCTATTGTTTTCAGATGTAAAGCTGTGAACAATCACCCCCTCACTACAGCCAATGCAAGCTGCTATATTCCCACTTCCCCAAGCAATTCTTGAGTCATACAAGTTAACAAAAAGCCCTCAGTGTACAGTCACAGTTTATACTACAATATAAAACACGTCTCGCCCCAGTTTAAGTAAGTAAAATATTTCTGATATTGCATACTTTACCTGTTATGTCATGCTGTTTGAATGACTCACTGTAGATTTGATACTGATTTGGGCAGTGTTTCTTCAACCACTTGCAGACATCCTGCTGGCTCCACAAAGCTACTGGCTTGGTCAGCTTCACAGTGCCAGACTGGAAACACAAAATAAGAGAATCAATGATACTTAGTCCACACATTTCAGAAATCTGACTTAAACAAAATCACATAAGGCATCAAAATAATGTCGTACGGGAGCTGTTCTTACTGGTAGATGATCAGTGATCACCAGCACACTGCATGAGACTCAGCTATGCAAACGCATTATGCAGGAATCACACACAGGGAAAGGCTCTCTAACATCATTCTGCATTGTAGATATATTCCTTGCGTCACAAAAACATTTTATCATCTTACTTGAATAACAGGAAGATCCCTTCTGGAACGACTTTCATTGTGAAGCAACAGCTTCTTCCATCTGCTTTGTCACAACCAGCAAAAAGCCACTGGTTAAAGCTACCAAGTTAACATTAACTTCTCAAAGGTGAAAGGTCTAATTTCAGGGCTGCAGTTTCCTATTATTGGCTCTCTGTAGCTCTTGATCACAAGTCATCACCAGRAAAACCCAAAATGCACAGCAGAGCACAGTTTTTTCTCAAGTTGTTGTGAGTCTTGTGTTTTAAGTCAGCTCAGAATTAGTAAGGCTAATTACTGATTCATAATCTTTGTTATCTACTAATAAGCTTTCTAGATAAATATATGAAAGCATAATTCTGCTCATAATAACCATGGTTTTGCTCATAATAACCATGGTCTAGCTGGCACAGGAGGCTCTGGATTTTACATCTTAGGGGCTTGTAACAAACACAGTGAGTTTACAGATGAAGATTACACTTGGGAAAATGTCACCCTGCTTCTGTTCTTCATCACACCGATGAAGAACAGGGTGCAGATCAGATGCAGCAGAGAGAACCTGGAGAAGTGACTAGCCCTAATGCGAAGAGCGCAGCGTGAACTCCAGCTCCTGGCTGGAGACCTGTGAACTGCGTAACAGACAAGAGCTGCAGTCCTGGGGAAAGTTGGACGTGGGGAAACCTGGCACCACGGAACGACCGATCCCCACGCAGGGCCCATTTGAGGGGCTCCCATTTCACAGCARATCACATTATAATGTAAATCAGGACTTAAAATACGGCTATTCTCACACAACAGCCAGAGCAGCTGCAGAAATGGACAGTCGGAGGGCTGGCGAGTTTACTATTAAACGCTGCGGCAAACTTGAGAGAGATACATGACTATAATCAGTATTACAACTAGGGAAAGAGCGATATTGAATAACGGCTCCTTCAATGACTTTCTATATTGCGGTCATTATCCTGAGCCAAACCCCAGTGCTCTCTCTAGACTATATGTAAAGTTAAACTTAGCGACAGCCTCCTCCCCAACACCCAAAAGCTAAGGGGGCCCGGGCAGCCGGAGCTCCTTCATCTACACAAATGTGGGAAACTCACCACAGAAACCCGGGTCACCAACAAGCAAGAACGGCCCCTGCCAAGTACCAGCCCTCAAGCAGACCACGGAGACAGGCCCACCCCGAGCGCTGCTGGGGGCCCGAGCGCAGGGCGGCCGTGTCCSGCTCGGAGGGGCGACAGCTCCGGCCTCCAGCGCCTCAGCAGGACGTCCCTGCGCGTCCCACCTCGCACACACAGCGGCCGCAGCACCATCCTCGGGTCAGTCCTGCTCCTCAACACAGCACGACAAGACTTGGCTGCAAAACACGACCTCAAACCGATAGGGCCCAGGAAGAGCAGATTCCCTGCAGGGGAGGGAGAGCTGCTGCTCTCAGCCCACTCAGCTCCAAGCTAGGGGGGAATTTGCAGGACTTCTGGCTTTTAGGCTTCTTTTTATTTTTTTTCCTTTCTTCTTCCTGTAATTCTCCTACTTTCACTGTTATATCAAGTAGGAAGAACACCTGCTTACCATTTGAAATGTCACTTCCTTATTAAAAGAAAAAAAAAAAGACTATTTAATACTTTCATGAAAGTTCAGTTTTGTAATATACTATCTGAACAGATTAACAGTTTAAAAATATAAAACGCATACATTAAGTCATATAAACACATAAATATAAAACACATAAGTCACATAAAATAAAATAAGCATTATCATATGTATAAAGCTGTATTTCATTTAATCAAATAACTCAATCTCACATATATATATTTTAAAATAGAAAAAAGGTAAGTTCTAAAAGGCCAGAACTACAGGAACACAGTTCCCAGTTAGGGACCTTTGGAGGTCACCTTGTCCAACCGCCCTCCTCACAGCGTCACCTCAACCTCAGTGCCCAGGACTGTGTCCAGATGATTTCCAAGGATCTCCAAGGATGGAGACGCCACAAACTTTCTGGGCAACGGGTCCCAGTGCATCCCAACAAGCATACCAAAAAACACAGAATATACATTCAAAGGGATTTCATATTTTTTTACATCATAGTCCAGGAGACCAAATGACCTTGCATGAATGTGCCATTATTAATAACAATAAATGTCTGTCTTTAGACACTAGACACCGCTGATACAAAGGTGTGGGAACACTGCTGTATAGATTTATGTCATGATTTTGTTAAAGATCTGAGTCTACAGAATAAAACCAGTTTTAAAGTATCTGTTYCCATTTTGTGCATGCAAAGTACCTTCCCCCTCCGCCTCCTTGGGAGCAGTAGTGGATAATTGAGAGCTCTTTTTCTAACGCTTGGAGGTGAAGGAGAAGGGCAGCTCAGCTGCTTTTCTCCATGGCAGATTCCCTTGGTACTGCCAGCCAGGATTTGTTCCCACATTTACTCAGACTATTTTSTCAGACAAACATTTGCAAAGTTGCTTTCAAATTTCTATTACTAGAAGTCTGAAGGACTGAAGCAATTTGAGCTATTTTATCGGATAACATAAAGGACATTGCGCAGAGATACCAACTTAGGTCCAGGGAACACGACAGAGCTAAAATTCTGACCGACAAATATGTTGGGAATTTGTTATGTGCTCTTTTCTCTCTCTCTTTCTCTTCTTCAGTGCCTGGACAGAAGTTAAATAAATGGCACAAAAATATAGAGTTAAATATAGAGTTAAATATAGAGTTAAATATATAGTACAATATATACTTATATAGTACAATATATAAAATATAGAGTTAAATATATAGTACAATGCACATTCTTTAGATTAACCTTTTCTGTTTTAGATAAAACGACTCTCAGCAGAAATATGAATCCTCTTTGAGCTTCTCCAGGCCACTCATTACTGCCACTTAAGCCAAACAAGCAACAGAATGAACTTCAATGAAGAGCCCAGTTCACTGATGTTTTTTATTACATCTGCATATAAATGCATTTGCTTTACAAATACATCAAAGGAAAAAAAGTTAAAATAGTTATATGAGTGGAAGTAGCAGGGTCTCTGATCACACAGAAATCCCCAATAACAGGTCCAAGACTTTAACACCAGTATTTCTATATGAATTTCTGCTTTTAAATTCTGAATTTAAAGATATTTCTAAGCCTTGCTTTTCAGTTTTTTGAAGACTGTTTGCCTTGAAAAGTAAGTTGTTAATGGCTTTTCTTGTGCGTCACAAAAACACATTACATTGTATGTGTGTAMGTACAAATATATGCCATATAGCTGACAATAGCTTTACAAGGTATTTGTTCCTATTCAGAAGAACGCAAGCGAGGAGAATGTTTATTGCAAGTGCAGAGGATGCTCTTTCCAATTCAGCAGCTACTCTGCTTTTAAAAGGCTTAAACACTGTTGTGCTAGATCTAAATAACCAAGTTTATCAGCAATTACGGCGCTAAAGCAGCACTTCCCTGCACGCCTGCGGACTGCAATGTGGCTGCAAACGCAGCTATTACGCTGTGCAGTGCACAGATCACTGCATAGCAAATATACACTGCAATTCTCCAYAGCCAGTGCTCAGAATTACAGTGGCTGCAACATGCCCAACAAACTTGTATCCGCAGTGCAAATAGGGCTTTTGTTTTGTTTTGTTTTTAAACATAGCCACTTTAGCACCACTAAGCATTATGTTTAATTTTCCAATTCATAAGGGATGCATAAGTTGGAAGAATATTGGCATTTTGAAGCAATAGTTATAAAGAGCATTGTTATCATCTTTATTTTGGCATATCACACCCAAAATGCTCTTTAATCAGATCTCCAGATCAGAGCTTATTAAAAAAATAAAAACAAAACCCACCTCTTTGCCACAACAGTCATTTGTGAATGTCTACCCTCCTCTAAAGCTAGACCTTCTGTATACTAAAGACCATCAGTATATCAAGGAACAGGGCCATGACCACCATGACCACCCRAACACACCTACAAGATACGTGTATAGAAGCTAAGAACATAGAAACAACGAGTGTGTAGAACAATATAGAAACAAGCTAGATAGGTGGAAGACATATTATGTTATACTTTATTTCTGTCCATCAGATAGTAGGATGAAATTTATATAACAAAAAAAGAGAAAAAAAAAAAAAGAGAAAAAAAGAAAAGAAACCAGCAGCCTTCTTATTTTTTCTCCTAACAAACTCATCCTAAAACCTCCCTTGGTTGGCAATGACTTCATAAGCTTTAATGCTGCACAACACTATGCCAGTTGYTGTGTACCTTATATAGATTCAATGCATATCAAAGTCTTCAGTATTCAGATCTTTTCTTGTATATTGAACAAGAACCAGCTTCTTCAGACCTGTGTGTCAACCTCTTTCCTCTGCATTCCCTGCACACATTTTTGGCTATGTGTATGTACCTCCATAAAGATGACTTTACCAAGAGGAAAAGAAATAAATCAGCATAGTTAATACATGACACTTAATTTCATGCTCTGTTCGTTCCATGATGCAGAGCATACAGTATTTAAAATCAGCAACTCAAGAAAAAAAATATATATATATATAAATCAAGCTGATAGTTGAGACATTATTAGAAAGTGTGTTTCAGTGTTCAGAAGAGCATTAGCAGCCAAGCCCTGTGATTCCCAAGGAGTGACAAACAAGTGCTCACACCAGCCTCGCAGGTGCCGTGTGCCGAGCCTGCCCATTTCCAAGGTCAGTGTATTCCCCACAACTTCTTCAGCTCCTGCATTTTACATTAGA